CCGACTCCACCGCCAATACCACCACCGACCCCTCCACCAATTCCACCTCCACCACCAATGCCTCCACCGCCTTTCCCTATTCCTCCACCAATTCCACCACCAATGCCTCCACCTCCTTTCCCTATTCCTCCACCAACACCACCTCCGATTCCGCCGCCACCGCCACCTCCTTTCCCAATTCCTCCTCCACCACCACCGCCAATACCTTTTCCGATTCCTCCACCTTCATGCTTTTTCCCCTTCTTATTATAATGCTTCTTTCCACCACTCGACCCCACGCCGTGACCTCCGCCTCCGCCTTTTCCCACGCAGTCCGGCCTATCAAAATGGTTCTCATCGAGAACCAACCGTCCTTCCACGATTTTACCATTTTGCCCCAACTCCCGGCTGCCCACAAACCCCACCACCAAAGCTAAAAACGCAACTGCCAGAAAGCACTTCCCCATAACCATATTTGATGATTAAAAATTATTTTTTGTTGATTGCAAGCAGACATATAGAGACAGCTATCTCAAAGGTTTTATAGCAAAATGTTTTTTTACTCAACCATAAGAATTAACTATGAACATCAATACTACTCTTCCCAACCAATTTTTTTTCACCTTTGAATTCTTTTGCAATATTATAATGTCAACTTACACAAAAGTCCAGCTCGAATAGCCACACATATACGTGAACAGCTACATGCACGCATGCATGCATTTATGGTTAATTCTCTTGCAATTGGTTTGGAAAACATGAAGAATAAAAGCTAAAGCGGGGGAACTATGTATTGACTATTTTCACAGAATTGGTTGGAAGTTGGTTTCTTCCAATAAATTCTCTTGCTTTTATATGAGTGATTTTATTTTTTTATTGAACCAATAAACGGGCATAAACATGCCTTTACTTTTTATTTTTGGAAGTAGAATACGCATTTATTACTAGCACCATATACATACATTGTTTTTTAAGGCAAACTTTTGCAACTTATTACAATCTTTACTTAAAAATTACTAATTTAATCACAACTTTTTAATTTGACAATTTATGATACGAGACTTTTTATCTTTTTGCCTATCAGGGCACGAACTCTTGTAAGAAAAATACAGCAAGTCAAAACTCTCAATTGATTACGAGTTATATAAGAAAAAATTCAATACTAGTCCCACATGGTGAGGGGTGCCATTTTTTGTCCCGCATGATAGTGCAAGTCACAAATAGTCCCATAGTTTTAAAAAAGTCATCAAAAGTAGTGTTTTTGATGCGATTTCGGGTCCGAAAGACCCGATATATAAGCCATGTGGCGAAGAGGTGACGTTTTTTTTACAACAGTCATCACACGATTTTTAACGCCAATATTATATATAAAATATAAAATATATATATCCATATATGTAAATATAGATTAAAACATATAATAATAAAACTTTTTAAGAAGTATTTAAAATTTTAAATAAAAGGTTTTATTTATTTACTTATTTTTGTAAGTAGTATAAAGTATCAGATTTAATTGAAGTAAAAGTGGTGATTTGTTTTGAAATTTAGACTTTTTGGTAATACTATTAGTTAGTTTACTGAAAACATAGTTCCATTTAAGGGAAAACTCATGTAATGAATACAAGTAAATTACACATTAGAATATGTGGTCATTATTTATTTCGTATATGACTACATTTATCCGTTGACGTTAGTTCAGGTGGCCCTGGCCTTCACGGACTACATTTTACAGCTGCTATGTGGATGAAAAGTGTGCTACATCTGCATTTGCATAGTATTAAACTCAAAATTATTAACCCGTCCAAAAATCACGAGCCCATTTTTTGATGATGAAATTTTGGAAATTCAGAAACGTGGAAGAACTTCATGAACCTGTCGAGATATTAATAGTGAATTGATTATAAGGAAATGAAAAGTTACAAGCTTAAAAAAATATTCAGGATTTTCCAAAGTTTGGATTAATAATTTATTCATGAATTTACACGTTCCCACGCCAATGTATAATATTTTTTTTTCACTATATATATTGTTCCTTTTAAAAAAAAAGTTGCACTGCTTTCTCGGATGTCAAATTAATATCATCTCCTATTTCTTTTAAATGTCATTTTGGCTTTATCAATTATTAACTACATTTTGGATCTTTCGTACATATTTTTCTATTATTACCGTCATTTAGCTAATAAATACATTACGATCTTCTCATATTCATTCTTCATCTTTTTTCAAAACTTTCATCTCTATCTTCATTAATGAGGATTATTATTAGTAAAAATAATTTTTAATTACTGTACAAACTCTCAAAACGACACTTATTATGAATATGAGGGAGAATATTAACTTGTCGAAAATATAAAATGTACATTAATTATGAGGGAGGGTATATAAAATTTTCTTTTTTTTTCTTTAACCTTATTCAGGCATCAGTCGGTATCCATTTCTGTTGGAAGCAGGGCAGATCTAGCAAATTTTAGTGGAGGAGACGGAACAATATAATTTTAAAAAACATCACATGTTCAATATAATAGAAAAACTTACAAACTTTGCTAGCAATTAAAATTAATTAATTTTCTCAAAATATGGAACATATTAATAATTGACTCGAACATGTATGATATAAAAATACAGCAAAATAAAAGAATAATCTCATGTTATAATCATATATCATATATTTCCACCACATTAAATTGCATATCTTAAGTGCTACGTATATTAAATTTACTCCTTGTATTAAGTTATATACAAGTGTATTTATAAAAGACTTACAAGATCTAATTATTATAATAATAATTAGTACATGGACTAGTACATGTAGATTCTTCTACTAAGAGCATTTCCAATGCTCAAATGTTGTTGTGGTAAGTTATATTTTACATCAACATATTTAACAATGTCATAACTTTTCATACTCCAATGTACAATGTAATCACAAATGTTGTGATGATGTGGACATAATTAATATCTACAATGTAGAGTAGAATGTGATTCATCCACATTCTCCTCCACACTAGTTAACCAATGAAGAGAATACAGAGTATTAATCTTGCTAATTTTAAACTATTTAATTATTTAATTAATTTTCTTATTACATATTATAAAATTTATATTTGGTAAGTAGACAATATTGTAATTAGACTACATTGTGCATTAGAGATAATTTTTTAATTTCATAGTTGTAAACTTAACATTTTTCCTACATGGTTCACAATGCATTTAATTTATTGACATTTGTCAAATTTATTCTATAACAACATTATAAAATTGAAGATGCTCTAATACTGCCTCCCCCAACTTATAGATCCACCCCTGGTTGGAAGGTCCACTGTTGGTTTCGTTATATGGAGATAATTATACCTATAAAAACTTCATTTTCAGTAGGAGTCTTTGTCCACTCAATGTTGTAACAAAAGTAAAAATAATGAGAGATTCGACGTAGGCTGTTTTTTATGTTTTTTTTTGTTATTTTATGTGTTTTTAAGTATGTTATTTGTCTTCGTTTTATTTTATTTTAATTTTTCCCCAATCATGTCAGTCCACTTAATGGTGTAACAAAAGTAAAAATAGTGAAAAAGATTCGACATAGACTGTTTTTTATATTTTTATTGTTATTCTATGTGTTTTTAAATATGTTATTTGTATTTGTTTTATTTTATTTTAGATTTCTCCCAACTCATTTGATCGTTAAATTTGTTTCTTGTATTTCCTTGTTATTTTGGTGTCTTGTACTTTTTATATCTCTTTTAGATTTCTCCCAACTCATTTGATCGTTAAACTCGCTTCTTGTATTTTCTTGTTATTTTAGTGTCTTGTGTTTTTTATATCTCAAACAAGTCAAACAAGTCGAATTAAGGAATCACTCTCACACATATCATCTTTCATGAAGTGTTATAATATGCTGATGTTTTAATGGACCAATGATTGATTTGATTATTAAATGAAATTAAGCCCCACTTCACATGCCAATAGTACAAATTTCAACGCATTCACCCAAATCAGACCCGTTATAAGATATCTCAATATCTTTTCAAGTAATCGCAANTTCAAGTCTCAAACCAGTACACCTTTATCAACACTAGTCCAAACTTGAATTACCTTGCCTTAAAAAAAGGGGAAAAAAAATCCATGGAGAACTCCACAGAGCAGCCTGAACAACCACAACAGCCAAGAACCGGTGGCCGGCGCCTGATACTTTTCCCTCTCCCACTCCAAGGCCACATCAGCCCTATGCTCCAGCTGGCAAACATTCTCCATTCTCGAGGCTTCTCCATAACCATCATCCACACCAGCCTCAACTCTCCAAACCCATCGAACCACCCTCATTTCACGTTTCGACCAATCCACGTCAGCATGTTCGAAATCGACAATGGATATCCGAAAACCGATACTCTCTCCTTACTTGAAATGCTCAATGTCCGATGTGTCGAGCCCTTCAGGCTGGCCTTGACCGACCTGTTGACCGACGACTCAACTGAACCAGTCTCCTGTGTGGTCTCAGATGCCATCTTACATTTCACATCAGCAGTTTGCAAGAGTTTGAAAGTTCCGAGGATTGTTCTGAGGACTGGTGGAGTGTGTTCTTTCTTGGCTTTTGCCGCTTTTCCATCCCTACTCGAACGAGGCTATCTCCCGCTTCAAGGTACTGCGTTTGTTTTTACTTTTTAGCTATATTTTTTTTTTTCTTTTCGAGTACTTGAAAGAAGTGGTTAGTTAACTTATTCCATGCTAAGCAGACAAGAAGAAGCTGGAAGATCTAGTAGAGGAGCTTCCTCCACTAAGAATCAAGGATCTCCCAATAATCAACACACCTAATCCAGAAAAACTGTATGAGCTAGTGCAAGCCATGGTAGAACAAACAAAGGCTTCGTCGGGACTAATCTTTAACTCCTTTCAAGAACTCGAAGACTCGGCAATCGAAAAACTTCGCAGGGACTTCGAAATCCCAATCTTCCCATTAGGTCCATTTCACAAGCACTTCCCAGCCTCTTCAAGTAGCAGTTTATTCGAAGAAGACCACAGTTCAATCTCGTGGCTCGACAAGCAACATCCAATATCGGTTATCTACGTGAGCTTCGGCAGCATTGCAGCAATAGAAGAAAAAGATTTTGTCGAGATAGCCTGGGGATTAGCCGGCAGCAAGCATCCCTTCCTCTGGTTCGGCCAGGACTAGTTAAAGGCTCTGATTGGCTGGAACGTTTACCGAAAAATTATTTAGAAACGGTAAACGGACGAGGGCATATTGTTAGGTGGGCCCCACAGATGAAAGTGCTGTCACATCCTTCGGTTGGAGCTTTTTGGACGCACTGCGGATGGAACTCGACGTTGGAGAGCGTATGTGAAGGGGTGCCGATGATTTGCAGCCCGTGCTTTACAGATCAGTTGGTGAATGCACGATACGTGGGGCACGTTTGGCGGGTCGGTTTGTGTTTGGAAGGCGGGTTTAGAAGGGAAGAGATTGAGATGGCTATTGAAAGGATATTGGGGAATGGAGAAGAAAGGGAGAAATTAGAGGGAAGGCTTTATGTTTGAAAGAGAAGTCTAATCTTTGTGTTAAGCCTGGTGGATCTTTGTACGGGTCCTTGCAGAACTTGGTCGAGTACTTGTCGCTGTTGTAAAATCTTCGGGAAGTTTCATTACTGTGGAACTTTCTGTTGATCTGCATGAGGATATAAGAAATCATGAAGATACTTGTTTCAAAGTGCAACAGAGCAGCTTTAGAGTTAAAAGAGATAGGAAAGAGAACTAAATCACCTTCTGTTTTACACATCAAACTCACCCACTAAAAATCAGTTCTTTATGTTGAAATAAAACCCATATTTTCTGGGACTGGTGTATGTATTTTCTTGTGATACAGCTTATTCATTTGTAAACACATCAAAGGCAGTTACATTGCAGCCCCATATTTAAATCCAAATTAAGCCATAAAAAACAAACACGATTTTTCCTAGCATTGCCATATTCAGTAGTTTTCAGAGCAAATCAAGAATTGCAAATGCAGCTCAACTGACAATTATTCATGATCAAAACCAGTTTAGAAAACGAAATCGACAACGATGTTCTCTCAATTTTGATCACACATAAACAAAATCAATTTCACTCACCAACCTAACTAAATGGGTCTCCTTACAATCTGTCCGCGAGTTGGACACTGCAGAGGCTTCACCGGCTGGTTCAAAAAAAATGTTCACCGATTGCCAGAATCAGAGACATTTCTACATTATATAAGACTATGGTTAAACTTAATTTTATTTGAGCGTCAATTAAATAAGTTAACTTCTAACTTAGTTGACATGGTTTTGATTAGCTTCATATATATTATCCAGTTGCACGGGAGATTACAACCAAAGGGACCACATAACACTTGCAATATTGCAATCTTCTCAATTTACATCACATAACATACTTTTGGCATCCACCCAAACTCACATACACAAAAGAGCCAAATACACAGAAACTAACTCACATAATATGCAAACAAGACAAGAACCCATCATACATTCATATATATCACAATCAAACCTCGTAATAAATTTCTTACATAATCATTTCCTAACCCGAGATGTCGATTGCCTTGACCTCAGGCTTCTTCACCTCCTCTTTCGGCACCGTCACCGTCAGCACGCCGTTCTCCATAGCCGCCTTCACCTGATCAAGCTTGGCATTCTCTGGCAGCCGGAAACGGCGGAGGAACTTGCCGGAGCTCCTCTCCACACGGTGCCACCTGTCGTTCTTCTCCACCTGCTCCTTGCTCCTCTCCCCACTAATCTGTAGGACAGAACCATCCTCCACCTCGACCTTGACCTCCTCTTTCTTCAATCCGGGGACATCCACCTTGAACACGTGCGCCTCCGGCGTCTCCTTCCAGTCGATCCGCGCGTTGGCCACCGCCGAGGCTTCTCTGGCGGAGGACGGAGAGTTCGTGACGGCGCCGGAGAAAGGGAAGCCTTCGAATGGATCCCAAACGTCCAGTGAAAACGGGTCGAACACGTTGCTCCGTCGACCGCCGAAGAAACTCGGAATCAGAGACATTTTCAGTTTCTCTGCGGATTAACTAACAGATTTGCTTTGGTAGATTCTTGAGAGTTTGATTTTTGCTTGTGAAGGCTTGATCGGATTTCTGGTGAGGAATTGGCTCCGGCGAAGGAGAATTTATATGGTGGAGTGGGCACACGGCCTAATTTCCAGAGGACTCTTCAGTCTTCTGGTTGAGGAAAGATTCTAGAGACAGCTCGTTCTTTCTGGGTATCTCTATCGTTTTGGACCTGGATTCAGGACCGTTTTCTATATGGGTCACGGCTTTCCGTTGATATAGGCCGGTCTAGTAAATTGAGCACATTAGCTAACTATAGTCTAATTTACGGGCAAAAATACACAGCTACTCGCGTTTAAAAA